GTCTGACATCCGGATCTGCCAGTCTTTCAGTTGCCATGCGATTTGTTCGCACCTTACGCGGCCCCGGGAAACGTAGGGCGAAGCGACTCCGGATGAGCGCATGGTCAGAGTCCACAGATGTGTTCCAAAACGACCGGCAGTCAGTTGTTCACCTGCGCCATCGGTAACTGATGGCAATGTGGTCGACTTGAGTTTGTGGCCGGCCTGTTGTTGGAGAACACCAAGTGGCCAGACGACTGCGGCTATTTCGGAAGTTCGTACTGCATAAAAACAGCTTGCGCCTGACGCCTATCCACGACCACAGTGCAAAGAGCAGCACACCGTAAATGTTGATGTGCATGTTTTCGGCAGTTTCAAGAAGCAACTGTCATGATCCATGCCCCCGATTCACAGAACCCTGTTCCTTCGTAGAAGTAGACATTTGAAAGAAGAATGATATTCTACCAAGACAAGCAGGCTATGATTTCTTTAAAAGCATCACTCTTTGACCAGCCCGTCTGCCGCAACGTCAACAATTTCCAGACCGGTAAATTCCACCCCCTTCTTCGAGGCACTTTTGGGACAGCAATCTGTTGAAAAGATGGAGTAGAGTATACCGGTTCCCCCAAAGGGGATATTCCGGTTGGTAAATTATGGTATGTGTTCACACGTTGGCATCACTACCTTTCATTTAACCTTATCCGAGGGGCGACCAAATCTTGCAAGTAAGGTTGATGCCCTGTGTTTGGTGGGTCGGTACATCGAAGTTTGGTACGTGGTCACCGACAGTACAGTCCGAGTCGTTCATCAGTAAACGTCAAAGATGATTGTCCACCCCATGTTGGCCACCTAATAGTTACTGGATCGTCCAGACGCTTAGCGTAAAGTCATCAAAGTACCACACCACTAAAAACTGATGTTTTATCTAGGTGGAGAATGGATACAAAACACAGAAGCACGGAGAAGAATTGATAAAACTGTTTCCACAGAAAAGGAATATGTGGGAAAATATATGAGAGGAAGCGGTTGGGTTTAGTCCAGAGGTGATCGACGGGAAGACCCGAACGAACCACTGTTCTAGGTTGGACAGGCATCTACAGTAACTTTTCGCTTCATACTAACGTAGTCGTTGCCTTTGGCGACAGAGGAGGCACAAACGATCCAGCTAAAAAGAGAGAAGGGCAAAACAAGGTAACACGCAAAATGACTGACGATACTGAGTTGTGAACGGCACCTTTAACCAAGCTAAAATTAATAGCAATTGGGTTTTATCTCGAATGATGCTTCGTAACCTAGAAGTCGTTCCGCTGTCACACCTTTTCGGTGCACAGCTGCCGTGCAAATCGGGGATATTCACGATTGACCTAGAGTGAAGTACGAGTACATGACCCGACATTTCGCTCGTCCAGTCTGTGATGTAGCGGAGTTCGACCTTTCCACACTGTCCCATGTTGTTAAACCTAGTGTGGCATGCAGGTCGTGTTTTGCTAACAAATACTTTGCAACAGAGGATTCTGCAACAACTACTCTACTTACATCGGAGTTTAGAAAGCTGCGACAAGTGTCGCCAACAGCTCAAAGACAAGTAAAGTGGCTCGAAAATAATCGACATCGTCAGCTGCCAACCGTACACGGGCGGCACGGAGATCCCGACAGCCAAATCATCTACAATCATCTACAATGTTAACTCAATCGGTCTGTTTGGAAAGGGGTTCTGAATGATAAAACTGAAAATTGCGGCCCTTATAACAAAGTAGAATGACCAATTATCAATCTATTACTCACACGCGTGCAAACATACCTCTGTGCATCGGGTTTCTAATCGGTTATGGATAGTACACCGTGCAGATTCAACTAATTTTTGATTCCTATGAGCAGCCTACAAACATTTCCTTAATAAATGATATCACTTTCAAGACTGGAAAAACTTCAATTTCTTAATATGGTCCATTCTGATGTTCGTGGAACCGTAAGCAAGTAGAAGATCGACACATGAAAAACAGTGATCCGTTTTAGTACTAACTGATGATGGAAGATTTGTTTCTTAGAAAAACCTTAAGGGGAGAATGACATCTGCATCGCCTGTTACCTACGCTGACAACCAATCGACAGATCTCATGACGCAAATGAACAGAAGATCAAACTCGGATTCGGATGCACTTGAAACCCGAACGCACCTTTATTACGCTCGAGAAAACAACAATTGCGCCTTTGGGTACCAGAGCTGCACTTACTAAGCACTGTGTCATTAGTGATTAGTGTCGAACAAAGTCAGAGTTACCCTTCATCAACATCAATACAATACATTACTCAGCCAGGACTACGATCATCCATAAAGCCAGAAGTGGAGTGGTTGGAATTGTGAACAGTGATTAATCCGCCCTCGCAGCTAACAGCTTTTCATTTCCCGGATACGCTTGGTATTATGTTATCAACAAAACGGCCCCCAATCACACTCAAGATTCAAGGATGACGACAGTACTCACTTGCCTACAAAAGGGTTTGCGGAATAAAGGCATTCCATTGCGCTTGGTACACATGCAAGCAATAACTGACTCACCGGCTTTTAAGCAGCTTCACAATTTGTTCATGTCCCCAAAAGGCAGATCCCTGATGCCATATGGAATGGCACAAGCTCCAAGGATTAAAGGCCGCACTAGGTCGATCCGTGTCTGCTGCTTCAGGCTGATGTCTCAGAATGCAGCGTTCATGTTGCAGCACGGTGGGCATTGGAGGCCTTGGGTTTAGCTGACATGAAAAACCAGCAGTGGGAAAGTCACGGCTGCTGAATATTGCAGGCATTTGAATTGGTTAAGTGATTACCGTTTGGAACGTAACCGGAATTAGGGTTAGCTGAGAGCGGAACCTTGTAGTACCTTGACTTCAGGTGGTCCCCTCAAATGGGGTAAACTACATTCTAATTCACTGAATGCTATATTGAGGTCGTAGATGAAATGAGAGTCCAAAATAGAAGGCCACATGTTCCTCTTAAAGGAGTTACAGGTAGATGTTACAATAGCCAAGGTGAGTCAGTATCTCTCTTACACGATAAGAAGCAAATCATCTATCGGCTTCCTAAGTTTGTTCCTAGAAACAAATGGTTAGATACTGCGCGAACAATGCTGGGTTTTGTAGTCACCAGCATGTGTCGTAGAGATAGTATGTACTTGATCTCCTCACCAAGTGTTGAATACAGCACTCCAACCTCATTTGGCTGGCCGCCAGAGTGGCCCTAATCTGTACCACGGTTACCATTGCCTCTTCCCCATAGTACCGAATCAAGTCACTTAGTGAGAAACTGGAGGGTATTCTGTTATAATATTAGTAGAGCCACGGAATGTTTGTCAAGATTTAAAAATGGAGGAGCATACCTTCATTCTATGTCCAATTCCAATGGTCTCCATGGGAGTTCCGGACCGGTAAACGACTGTCTCAACTCGACTTTTGGGCATATTAGCCAAGGTTATTCTAATTCACGCCATCAATTTACATACATTTATCTACTCTGCGATTGTCCTCGTCAATCTTATACTTTGGAATTGCATCAGCCTCATGGATTACTAACAAGCTACAGAATATTGGGCTTAGAGCAGACTGTGTTTGGGTAAGGTAAATCTCCCACAGATGTCGTTTTGGTTCGCCTTCGTAGACCTTGTTTAAATATACCAAATAGTTAGTAATCTCAACTCATATACCCCAAAATACACGAGGCTGAATAAAGTATAAGTGACATTGGAAAAAACACGTTAGACAGGTGTTTCTGGTCTGGTTTACCAATGTTTGGTAAGTAGGTGTTCTTTAGTCCCATCGCGCATTCACAAAGGGTCTTCATTTATTAATTCCTTATCCAAGGATTTTATTCTTTCGGTGGTAAAAACAGCAGTGATTGGTCACAACTTGTACAGTGTGGATACTAAAACTCACCCGTAAAGGGATAAAATCCACGTCGCTGGTTGACACCATTGGTCCTAACTTGTCACAACCGTGCCCACACGTCGAGCCGGTAGGGGGGAAGGCGATACACAAATGAACATCATCCCCACCGCGATTCATGATGCCTTCGAGTGAATGGTCCAAACCCAGACAGTGTCCCAGCTCGTGCCAAACACTGCCAAGACCGGTTGCAAACGCGGCCCAATACGTGTGCCTGTGCCATAAGAGCCAGTACAGAAAACCACGGTTGGTAACAGCTTACTTGTTAGGCGTCACCATGGTCAGAAGCGTTTGAACGTGTTTACTTGAAAAACGTGTGAACACGGAAAAGTGGAAGCGCACCAAGTGAATGTGCGATCCTTTTGGACTAACTATGCAGCAAAAGTACACACTTTAAACTCCACGCCTCGGCAGATACATAGCACAAACGTCGTCTGAAATTTTTGGTTGAATACTGTACAGCAAACGAATTTGGTTACACCGAGTTATTCGTGGCATGCATTGGTCATCCAATCCAACAAACTAACCTGTAAGCTGTGTCATCCATGACTGTCGAGTGGTCTATGCGCCGCGTATTCCATAATGCCGTGTTGAGGGAACCCAAGTCCTCCGGCCAGGCATGTAAGGTAGCCGTGCCAAGTAAGGCCAGTCCCCCAGCACCTGCAGATAATTTTGCAAATGCCACGAGTTTCAGAACATGTTCCCCCAATTAAAGTGAGTTGACAACAGAAACAGAGAGTTGAAAGATCGATTCCCCAGGTCCGCCACTTTTATGGACAACTCAAGTCAGCGTGAAAGTAAGATAATGAAATTCCATCTCAGCTTTTCAGAATGTCATGAAGTAACGCGATGTTGGCACTAAAACCACAACCCCTGGGTCATTCTAAGATCCGTCCGAGAACGAAATCGGTTCGGAAAGAATTACCACTAACGAACTCGAAAAATGTTTGACCATTGTGTAATAATGCACGAAGTTGAAGCAATTAATGAAGATTGGATCGGCATCTGATGACGGCTATCAAGCTTGCGCTTGGGCTACACAGGGGTAGTATTTTTACTGGAGTACGGTATGCAAGCTCGATAGCCGGATATGGGTCACCCTCCTGTCAGCCTATGGTTCTTAATCGAACAGCCACGCAGGTAGATCAACAGACGTTTGGTTTGGCACAGGCGGCATCGCTTTTGTGGATTCCGTCAGTTCGTATTTCGTTGGCCGAACCGAACCTAGTGTCTACATCAGCAACATCAACATTATACACCGCCACATGTTTACGGAGGGTCCCAGTTCATTACCCACGCTTGTACACTGGATTGAGATACTTCTCAGTTAGACACTTCGGTAAATTGTTCGAATGCAGCACGTGATGCATTCGACGTAAAATGTTCTGTCTCTGGAGAACACGGTGTTAACCAGTGTACATTCTGCTATGCTATGTAGAAAGTGAAAATGCTAAAGAAATGCCTCATCAATGAAGGTCAAAAATAAAAACGCGGTATTCAATCTGGCGCAGTTCAGTCAAATAAGCTAAAGGAACTTCGTAATTGTGAAGGCATTTGGAAGTGAAGAAATGCGATAGTGGAGATCACTGAAAGGCTGTCATTTTCAGAGTGCTCCCAAAGTTCAGCAGCAAATAAATTGGCGAAAAACACTCCCAGTGGAAGTCACTCTAGATCTTTCGAGATCGGGCATAAAATAGCCGCCAAATTGGGTCTCATCGAGCCGTTTTTTGCAGCACTTTGAATAGAAAGGCTAGGATCCTCAGCAAGCACTAATGGGCATGAGCCAGGAAGTGTGCTCTGGATGAGTTTTCAAGAAGTTACCCGAAAGTGCGGTTCTAGTGAGATAGGACGACACCATAAAGGCTCACCAAATCTTAAATAAGGTCGAGAGATCTCGTTTTTTCAACAGTGCTTTGTGAAGATCGATCCAGAACCTTAGAAAGTACTACCCGCACAAGAAATATATCAAAAGAGCGTGAGAAGCACATAAAATAAGTTTTCCCTTCAAGGTGATGAGTGGAATATTCACATTTGTGTCGGAAATTGAAGGAACTGTCACCAGTAGGATGCGAAACACCTCTCTGGATGAGATATTCGGATACCTTTGCGGATAGTTAGATCCTTTTGCCATTAGACTATTTGATGCATCTTCCGGATTTTGTTGTACATGAAGTCCAACTCAACGTGCCTAAATGACCACATCGTCATGAAACCTGATTAAAATCACTCACTAAAACGCACAGAAAATACTCGGGGTCCCGAGGCGGAAAGAAGTAAGAGTATCCTTGGGGAGAATTTACGAATTAGTATTATTTGAATTTCAGTCTGACGTTTCGGCGACCATGCAACTGCCTGTGTTCATACTGACGACCGTCCTTTGGTGCTCCAATGGTCAATAGCACATAACTAAGGAAAGTTACTGTCGCCATATGCATTCATCAAAATGACTAATAACTGGCCATCATCATATACATTGGTATGGCATCTCATACAGGAAACTGAAGCCACGCAAACTGACAAGGTCAGGCGTAAGACACTCGAAATAAACGCATTCAATTCAAAGCACTTCAGTCAGAAATACATCTCGACAAAAGTGAATCATACCTTGGACTGTGGAGGCCTGCATAAGAACTGACAGTTTCAAGAACTAGCAACATGCCGTCAGGCCCACTCTCTCGGTGGAACCGCTGTGGCCAGACATATCCCATGTTTGACGGAGTAACTCAATAAAGAACGAAGTATAGTTTCCAGTAGAAACCAGTAAAACCACATGGCTCAGATCTATCAGTTCGAGAAGCGAAGTAATAACTGCAGGCAAATATACTAGTCCCAAAAACCAAAGATTAATTTACAAAAACTGCTTACCGAGTGCGAAGTGCGCCTTTGCAAACTTGCTCAACTCTTGGTAGGTTAAGTTGGACTGGGATTCTGGAGCGGTATACCGAGTATCCGCCATGAAAGCTATCCACTTCGTGTTCATGAACGCTTGAGGATAGGCATTACATAGCTCACGGGCTAGCTTGGACCAAACATCGATAGGTTGACTGCTGTATATTTCGGTACATGTAAGACGGGAACGATGCAAGCGACAGATTAATTCGGCCCGATCCTCGTTGCATGCAAATGTGTATCTTTGACCATATTCCGAGAAGAAACTTTCGGCAGTCAGAGACTGTAAAAGTTGGACAGCGAAGCCGATCCGACGCACAGCACTTTCTGGGCTTCCTGAATTGTAGCCATTCTCGTTTTGAAAAGATCCATTTCCGTCAGAGCAAACAACATAAAGCGGTTGGACCACATTAAATGAGTCTGGTGCAGGGCTGTAACAAAGTCGACAGTGTATAGAGAAGTGCTTGCAAGAGCATTCGACCCTGTTCCATCCCAATCGTAGGGGCGCAAATGCTTTGAAATTCGAACCACATAGCCTCCAGAAGTGAGAATCCAGCACCCTATCGGTGCGTACGACTACCTCAGAACACCCACAAAATGGGATTAACTTGCCCTTAATTTGCAAAAGAGGGTAGTGAACGCAAAGCAGATCCTGCACATTGCACAAAATCAACATCCGCCCACCTAATCTTGAGGCAAGAGAGTAAGCCCTACAAATGGAACAGACGAGTTGATCTCAAACAAGGACATGGATAACAGAACGTCACATAAACCAGAGTTGATTTTGGGTAAAAAGCTATCTTTAAGTAAGTGGCAGTACAGATTTCGATGGGGAAACAAGATCGCGGTAATCTAATAGGCGCGAATCACGGACAGCATCAGGCGTGTTAAATGCTGTCACACAATCATTAAAAACATACAACGGATCAGGTTGTGGCGGAAGAAAAAACTGGGAAATTAATCTAGTAGCGGCCTAAGCTTCATGCTTAGAGTTCATTGTAATTAAGTTTTCGAGTGACCAACTGTGAGACTCCGCTTGCCGAAAGAATTGAATATCAATATCGTAACGAACAAGATACCGTGAATGTTGATTATGGAGGGACGTAAAGCTAGTGGAAACAGTCGATTATAAACGGAAAATGAGTGAATGAGCAAAGGAAATGGTTAAATATGGTAGTTCTAACAAATACAGTTTCTGAGCTTGCAGTAAACTCAAAATGTCAGTTTGCCACATACAGATTATCGTCATCAACGTTACCAGCAGCACCGGAATTGCACACAAGTGCTTCACTATCGTGCGGCCATACGATCCCATCTGCGTAACCAGTCCATTGATGATGTCTCTCACATTCAGGGAAATAATCCAGTAAAAGCACTCGAAAATGCGACATGTTTTTCATTACCCAGGAAGTGTACAAGAGAAGGAACGATCAGTTGTCAGAAGCGCCAGTGCATGGTATACAAGCAAATCGTATAAACCGAAAGTCATCTTCATCAGTGTTGTTAAACGCACGTAGCAGACCCGTTCTTACATGAACAAATTGCCGACAACTAAATCTTGGGGATCGGATTGCTGATTCGTACACAGGATAAGTGCTGCCTGAGATTCCAACACTTCCTCCATAGATTGGATGCTTTCGTAGCTTGTTTGGAAGATCATAATGAAGAAATCGTTTATTTGTCGAGAAATTGTTCCAATTTACTCGGAATAAAATCGAAACTCAGATGCGAATTCGAGGAGCGCAAAAACCCTGCGCGTTCATGTCTCAGCCGCCTTGAACTTGTTCAGCCTAAACGCCGGATGCCCCAGTTCTCAACGTATCACTGGTGAGTTAGACAACCAGGTGGCGAGGTTGTAGAATACCTGTGTTAGGAACTGAGGTTCAAAACCTCCAAAAGTGTAAGGCAGTGCTCTGGCTGGATTGCGAATCCGATCCGCGAATACTACTAATGACACATCTGCAGCATACGTATGAAAATGCTTGCATTCATTTTCAATGATGATGATGATTCATTTCCAATGATTCATTTTCAAGACGAAGAACGAGTATTTTGTTTACGTAACGGGGCGAGATGGCTCAGCGGTTAGAGCGCGTATTTACTGACCGGAAGGTCCGTAGTTCGAACCCGACCTCGGCCTCTCGACCTTTCCTGTCTAGGCTCGGGAAACCAGGCAGTATTCCAGCTCTCATGCTTCCTTCGCGTTACATGGCAGTTAGGCACCGAAAGGATGTTACAGTTGAACGAACCCTGTCTACCTGAAGTTTTGTGAGGAAACCTAGAGAAGACTAAGCTACACATCAGCTCCATACCTGGTCTCTTGGGTGTAAGAAAATACGCATAGGCACAAACTGCTGAAGTAGGTTTTGAAGAAGGCAAAGCGGAAGTGAAACTTCTGGCGTGCGCTGAATGGACTTCGAACATTTACACAGAACCAGCATATGTCTCTGGTAGCCGTCCGTCCTAGGTCGACTTATCGACACAAATACGTTGAAATGGGAACTTTAAGGTGCGTACTGATGGTACTATAATGCCCACAGGGTCACATCTTGTCGCTAGGGGTAACAGTAATGGTCACTTGATCAACTTGTCCAGGCAACATTAGCAAGCACGATTGCTACCGGCCATCTACTACATTTCACATGACACCGAGAACACGTTCAAAGTTGACAACTGTATTTAGTCATTGCGTCTCATCACCACCATAGTCGACAGTAATATACCACCGGCAAATTAAGGTAATTAATTGTCATGTAGATATGGGAAAGAGTACCCTAGTATGACTGTAATAGAATGGAAGGGCAAAAACTTAATGTGAAGAGCCCTACGTCTTTATGGAGAGGACAACTTAGGACGAAACATTAATCTGAACCGCACGTCATAGCAAGACACCACGGGTGGGATCATCATAACGTACTTGGCGAACTTTGCTCAACAAAAGCCCAGCGTACAATGATAGACAAAATCTTGCTAGGTAATCCGGCTAGAAAATTACAGGGCACCCGCCACTGGGATCGATTAAGAGCAATGTCCTGTAGGGTTCCTGATTACGTGCAAGGAAAATCAAGTAGACCACGGCCACGAGGACGCCAAGATCCAACAATACTCAATCTAGTTGTAGCTGCTTTTATCCCATGTTGTATGCCACGTTCAGTCTTCCTCGGATCTTTCGCCAGCAAGGGTTCGGAATGAAAAAAGTGTCTTGTTTAGTAGATGACGGTTGTGCATGTCTAGCACATATCACATCCACCTTAACCAAATAAGTTCTCTTTGCTGTTCTAATGATTCTGGCTAGTCAAGTAGCTAACAACCAGTTTACGCACCTCGCAAGCTGCAGCCAGCTAACCCTTGCTATGCCAAGGTAGAAAGCGGGCGAAGTATCAGAAACCGTTTCAGACCCTCAGGCAGGAGGGTTCAAGTTTTGCAACCACAGGGAGACCGCCGTTACAGTTGCTTTGTATACATGGCGCTTCAGTCTCAGTGAAGCTCGCTTAGACATCGCAAACAGCACAAGTTGGCAAGTACTGCTTGTGCCTTGGAGATGAATGCATTGACGGTAAAACTATGGTTGAAGAGACTTCCAGGATATGCAGACTGACCACTTTTCACCTTTAATTTTTAAAAAGGCACATAGGGGTTAAAAAGCTTCCGCTTCGATGGTATAAATGTATCCTGAAGCAAGGGACGACGTCTGATATTCTCTTCAAAGTAGTTTACGTGGGATAGTGATAACTTAATCCAAGTCCACTAGGCTTTTTCCTACAGACACTAATTTCTGGGTTTCCGATCTATTCGAGTGTGCACTCCATTGTTGCGTAACTGATGAAATTGGACAAAATGGCTAATACACAATAATCTTAGCGGCCCGCACTGGTTATGATGAAGTTTTGAACATTTCATTATTATGGATGTTAGGATGAATGGTATGAAGTGTGATGACCCACTTTTATAGCATACTTTTCTGTTTAGGTGCAGTCAAGAGCGCTCTTCTACATACGGATTCGAAGGCCCCTCTGAAGCAGAGAAAGAAAGTTATTTCTTGTCGGTGGTATGCGTGGCGCTGGTCAAGAAGTTGATGCAGTGGAATGATGTGCTCAATGCGCTTCTTCCGTGATTGAAATCCTGCGTGCTCACGGAGTTATCCCATATGCTGGGGCTAGGTTCCACGGTATCAGGTAGGCCAGTCGTTGTGTTACGACAGGAATGACACTTGCATCTCCCTCGGATGGAAGAGTCACTCCGGATACCTTTTTCTTGTGAATCCGCAGCGGCTTCAGGCCCCTGGAACACGCTCTTATTTTTACGTATGCTCGAAAGTTTTAGCCAGGGCAGAATAGAGACTGACCAACGTCTTTAAATAATAGTGGTGGATACCCACTTGGTTCAGCAGCTCGGTGGCGTTCCAAGTCAGAAGGGCACAGTAAAACCCATAACCGGAAGATTTATATTAACAGCCTACGGCTCAATTTGAGCGGATCGAATGAAAGATATAGGTACATTGGCAGAGAGCCAATCGAGCTGTGGTTGAAAACATTCTGCTCAGCTATCTAACCACCGCAGTTCATCACGTGGTGGATTCCTAATATCCAAGCTGACAGTCTCCAGAGTATGGTTTTACGGATTAGAGACAACTTCAGTGCATTCGAGGCTGTATTAGCCATCTCCATTTCTGAAACTTTCGGTTCTACCACGCCCCTTCGTCTTACCGACCATCGATCCGATTTCGTTATTGGACCGAGCGAATACAGGGTCTCGCGTTAAGCAGTGACCGTGAATGTTCTGAAATACAGTAGTTTTGTAAACCCCACAAGCAGAATTTTCGATGTCGTGCGTAGCTGTAGTCATCTGTTCCTGATGGAGATATCCTCAGAGGAAGCCACTCACAGAGCCGTGGGTTCTTTTAGCTTCTACACTACAAATCTTTTCTACCGCCAAATGGTGAGCTAGCTACCCAGGTTTACTAGAGAAGCCTGGTGAAAAAATATATCAAATGAGAATATACTCTGAGCCGTGTTTACCACAGAATGACTAATAATCAAGAATTAAACCTTATTATCGGCAGCTGATGGCGATATGATCAATTTCGCTCCATGGCAACTCCGAAGCAGGCAGCGCCAGCTAGCCCAACGGTTGTCACTGAGTTTGAATCCAATACTACTAAGGAACAACTGGCGGTTGGTATAAAGTTACAAAAAGATGTTCTAAAAGATGCGTCTAAACCAAATACACTTACCCGCTTGTGCGCTGAGGCCTCTAGCTACTGGAAATATACCTATCTTACGTGTGGATACTAGGGTAGTAAACGTTGGCAGGTATGTTTCACCAAACGGGAGCCACACCTGATCGAGGCACGCGTGGATACTGTAGTTAAAGACCCAGTGCTTAAGATTTCATATCCCAAAGAAAGTGGAGCGAGGTATGAATGGCGGGCTCGAGGCGGTAGGTGTGAGCAGTGAGGCGCGATCAATCATTCTCAGGTGCGCCTGAGTGACGTGCCTGCAAATAGGATCTCGTTCAACTGTAACACCCTTTCGGTACGTAGCTGCTACGCCACCCGAAGGAAGCACGAGGGTTAGGATACTTCCAGGCTGCCCAAGCCTAGACAGGGGAAGTCGAGAAGCAAAGGCCGCATTCGAACCACGGACCTTCCGGTAAGTAAATTCGCGCTCTAACCACTTGAGCCATCTCGCACCACAAATGGAATCTATAAAAAAGTGGATGATGAGTTAGATGAAAAGAAAAAGAAGAGAAAAACGATTATAGGAT